ATCTATAGCACTCACTACAAGCAATTACACACAACCATACAATAGGATGGATAAGATAAGATGACAGTTTTAAAATCTTATGTCACACTAGGGTGGAGGGAGGGAGAGATTGATAACAACGGAAGCTTTGTTTATCGAATCAACTGCAAATCAACACGTGTAATAGGAATGATTCAACACCTGTCCACCCAGATATCTGGAAAATTCTACTACCCCTACGATGACAAATAGGAGAGAAAAAAGAAGACTATAAAACTCAAGTTTGGAAGTCATGTGATTATAGTTGATGATATGATTATGAACCACAATAAATTTTGTTCGAAACCTTGTCATCCAGTAAATAATACTGTCTCACTCACTGTGTGATACATCTAATAAACAAACTAATATGGAATCACGTAGGATAGTGTAGACAACCTGACTGATCTTAGATTACTCGGGATTCTAAGAACCAAGGACGGCTGGAGACAATTACTGGAGTTGGTATGGCTCGAAATCGTTCTCTGTGATGACTGGCACAGATTCATTCACTCTTTGAGATTTATCATATCCAATAAAAACTATATTCTTCTTTCATAATACTATTCTTTTTCCCTCACTCACACTTCTGTTTATTATCTCTCTCTCTCTCTGTCTCTCTTGAATCTTTCTTTCTTTAATTACTGTCTTCTCTTGCCTTTGTGTGCTGAATGGAGTGTGGCAACTCGAACTGGTGCACATCAGTGCAAAGTTCTATGTTGAAACCAGTCAGTCAGTCAATCATTTTGAAAAGATACAGATTTCTTAGTCATTCCTGTTTATTTCAGTATTAATAGTTATACGCCTATCTTCAGTAAAAACCCGTGGACTCAGGTTTCATGCCAGTTGATAAGTACTTCCATCATTTACTTCCGAATTCAAAGGCTTCATTAAACTGTTCAATCGCACCTATGTGGTAAATTGTCTTAGCAACAAAAGGAACATTTTCTAGGATGTGTTATTAGAATGGTAAATGGAAGAGGCATTGAACTCTCTGATAAGAATTCTGCTTGAATATGGCCACCTCGAACATTTCATCACATCTTATCCATGAAGCGTAAGTCACTAAAACCGCCCAAACTCTCTCTCTGCTCCTAAAAAAAACTTCTCTATCTGAATCGACAATTCAATGGAGGCTCATTGGCAGAGGTTCTGAGGAACCGTCTGTTCCGCTCACTGGAGAAAGCCTTCTTTGCGGCTAAACTCCAACTAACCTTCTCTACAAAACCAATGATTCGCATGAACGTGAAGGATAAGCTACTACTGCTGGCTTCATCAATGTTTATCTTATATTTCACCTACTCATGTAGAGCCAGGTATATCTGTTGTACTCAGTGTCCTCTGTCCAAATGTATTACTGAACGTTTACCCTCTTGGTTTTATAAAGGAGAGAAATGACCCCCCCCACACACACACACACACTCCTGCAGCTCTATCTTGTAACCAGACTAACTCACAAACCAAGTTGAAAGTCATCTACAGAATACGTGGGAATTTCGCTAAATGAACACGAATCAAACTTCTTCAACTCGAAAAAGCAATGATTATTCACGTTGTTAGAGCTCCAACTTTGCATACAAAAGAAGTTTGTCGAGTCATTAAATCTACAGTGGACCTGATATATTTGAACGCCAAATACGATAGCAAATTAGAAAAGCACTACTAAAATCTAAGGTAATAAAATCATACGAAAGGTTATGAAATCATAGAAAGTCGAAAATGAACGTTTATCAATGAAATAAAGCAATAGAAGAAAAGAAAATTATGATTGGAATTTAAAGTGCTAATGTTTATGTAGGATTTGTTGGCTTTATTGTAGGCCAAGGTAAACATAGCGGTTGAACACATACTTCTTCTTCTGTATACAAATAGTTAGTCTTCTGGTACGGATTGCAACCGCTTCAGCTACTGATAGAAGATGTAGTCGTGCTCCTCTAGATAGATGATAATTTTTCTCTTTCTTAGTTTCATTATTTTCTCTCCTGCCCCCCCCCCAACGCCACACTCCCTTTTCCAAATTTCTACCCCTTATTACCACTGTTGTTAACTTAACCGTTGTTCTGCCTCAGTTGAATCCTACTCACTCCTATCACACTTATATCACATCATTCAATTTACCTGTTTTATTTTAGTTTCTGCTAGATTAACGCTCTTTATATTACGTAAATTGTTGTCTAAAATTGACATTTCTAATTATACATTATATATACATATATATGCGATTGTACGGCTTGAGAATAATATCGCTGAAGAGATTGACTCTTCTCTGGACGTCTTTTTTCCTGTATTCGATCGTTGTACACGAACTAGTCTGTGTACGGTAGCAAATGTATGCGTATCTGTTGTCTCCCAAACCTCTAGGTTAACATCAATAGATACAAACGATACAATGTAGTCTCAAAGCTGAGTGACATAATATCCTGGTGTGTAGACTGTCCTGCATTCAACTCCTTGTCTTGATGTTTACTTCCTGGATATATTATGACATTAAACATCGAATTGGTATTGTGTTGCGAAGAGCTAGAGAATTGATTGAGATGGCTAGGAGACTACTAGATGTCAAGTATGCCAAGCCACCGCCTTCCTTTACGAGCCATGGTTAATTGACATAGGATTAGGGGTAATGAAAGCAGAATCTGGTATCAATTCATGAAGTCTTTGACTGTTGCTTCGAGTCACATATCCTGGGGGGGTAGGTGGGGGGTCCACGAGGTGCAAAGCGAGAAACAATGACTAGAAGCTCAATGACAAAGATGTATGCAGTTTGTGTATGCTCTCAGATCCATTAAGTGCTCATATTTCTTCATGGAATTATTCTTTCCGTGATGATGAGCTTCTATGCTGATTATACCTTCTTCTAAACTTTCGTCTCTTTTTGTTGTTTATCTTTATTGGTGTGTGTGTGTGTGTGCTAGGTAGAGTGTGACGAGTTGAACTTCAACGTTGAAACTCAGTCAGTCAGTTAGTTATTTTAGATTTATAAAACACAAAATAATTGAGCAAAGAATATCCTTTTCGGTAATTTCCTCTTCTGGCTCTACAATTATATGCATATGTTTACATACATAGAATATTCTAGATTAGTAGTCAATAACAATATTAGTGTTTTTTTTAAATAATAATAATTTGTTAAGTATTATCAATTGAATTACATTTCATTAAAGATGCTTAAATAATAATAATAATAAAGATATAATAGCGAATAAAATATCAACTAAAATTAGGGAAATTCCACAAAAATTCATGATCATTCAAACCTGGATGACCAAGCGGGTAAGGATATGTCTGAACTAACTTCTTTTGGATGCACAACTTAGGCTTGTTAATATGGATCCCAACGGCCAGCCAGTCTCAGCAATATTTAGTAGTTGAACTCTGAAGGCAAAATTGAGATTCGTAGGTATGCGGTAAATGACCCTGAAAGCCTGGTTAACGTCAATCTTGTGTTCTGTATCCACAAGATGAGTGAGATAGAATAGCGCTGCGAATCGATTTGTTTGTCCTTTGTTTAACCACTTTTCAGGGTGATGTTCGGAAATTCGAAGAGAAACTCGCCTAATTGTACATCCGATGCAACTAACTGCCTCCACAGGAGCACTTCTATGTATATAAACATGCATATATAATTGTAGAGCCAGAAGAGGAGGAAACTATCGAAAAGGATACTCTTCGCTCAATTATTTTGTGTTATATAGATATCTGAATCAATATTTTTGCTATATTTTAGATTAATTGAATACTTCTTGGTCACATGATTATCTGTCCCTAAAGCCATCGAGTGTATAGTTGGCTGACTGACTGACTGGTTGCAACATACAACTTTGCACTGATGTGCACCAGTTCGAGTTGCCACACTCCATCCAGTATACAAAGGCAAGAGAAGACAGTAAGTAAAGAAAGAAAGACTCAAGAGAGACAGAGAGAGAGAGATAACCAACAGAAGTGTGAGTGAGGGAAAAAGAATAGTATTATGAAAGAAGAATATAGTTTTTATTGGATATGATAAATCCCAAAGAGTGAATGAATCTGTGCCAGTCATCACAGAGAACGATTTCGAGCCATACCAACTCCAGTAATTGTCTCCAGCCGTCATTGGTTCTTAGAATCCCGAGGACCCCGGGACCAGTCAGGTTGTCTACACCTTCCTACGTGACTGACTGACTGACTGGCTTAAACTAACCGTTATGGATTTCATTGACTGATGAAGCCATGTTTTCGTTTGACCGTCACTAGCCTTCTCTTTTCCAACCTGATCCATCCTGTCAGTTAACATTGCCCGCCGGTCGAGGAGGTCGATAGCTAGGCTTGCGTAACACATGCCCTAACCATATCAATCGATGCAAATTCACAACCTCATCGAATGATTTTTCATCCTTATCTAACACTCGACATCTAACCTCAATATTACTCGCCCTTCTCTACCACCTAACGTGGGAGACAGAAAGCAGACACTGATAATTTTTAAATTTATTTTTGATTACAGCTTGATTCCACACCGTATTTTTTGGTACAGGTATGGTGATATCGGTAGCCCAAATTTTGCAGGCCTACCATAGATATCAGGTGTGCGTCGGTAGAGGATCGAACCCCGGAGCATGTGCATGATCAGCGAGAGTCCTAACCGCTGTGCCAACCTTTTCATGTCTTCCACTTCCGATGACCATGTCTCACAGCCATAAAGGAGGACAGTGCGAACTGCTGAGCAGTAGATACGTCCTCCGGTCGACAAACAGACGGATATCACGTCTGCGCCAGAGATGGTGTAAGTTGACATATACCAAAATGAGCCTTCCGTATCCTTAGTGAGATTTCGGCAGCAATCAACCCGCTGGAGTTGGCTGATGCAACTTCTCCCCCCTAGATAAGTGAAGTGGTCACAGCACGTTCTACCACTTCACTCCCTATCTATTCACTTTTGTGAATTGAAAACAGAAATTTAAATATTTTGAATAGAAGAAGCAAAAAACACAACTGCCACATACCTGCCAACCTTTTTCATGAGGTTTATAGTATGGAAATGTTCGTGAAATATGTGCATAGATATCAGCTAAAGTTAACCGTTGATTTGGTGATGACGCAATAGCTTGTATAATTAGCTGAGCATATGAATATGGGGGTTTACGAAATGCTGAACCTCGATCGATTGTTGCTGTTGACGCTAAATTTGCAGCCAGCTTGTTTACATTGGATTCAGCCTCTTGATTCCCACCGTTATCACTATTATTATTATTATTATTATTATTATTATTATCATTGTGTATTTCACCAAAGGAAAGACTATCATGGTGGACTGCAGCAATACCTGAATCCGTAGTAGTTGTATCATCTAAATCTTCTGTTCCTATTGCACTTTTATCAAAATTGTTCAACTTTATTGATGATACGTCAGCAGTTTCAGACAACTTCAGTTGTGCGAGAGGATTTTTCATTAGCTCTGAAATATTGTGATCATATGAGCAGTAATCTGAAATTCAAAGACGGAAAAATGAAAAAAAAACATCCATAAGACAATATCATCAAATCAAATCCCTGAATACCGACACTTGAACATCAATCTGATTTGCACTAGCGACTGGCCCCAATTCAGGTAGATAGTTACCTAGTTTCTAGTGACCAGTGGGGTACGGCAGGTCGGGTGTGAGGACGAACGCTTGCCGCCGATGACACTGGCTAGTGGTTGCACTATACTGTGGATTGGTAGAATTTGGAATTCATGGCTCATTGGATCGAATCCCAGTGATCGAATGCTCCAAGAGCATGGGTGTGTACTGATGAAGAGTCCCAAACTAGGATGAAACAGTTGTGCGGTACTCCCAGCTGGTTTTCAAATGGTCTTCTAACCAATGTCATCTCATGATGCAATCCTGTAGCCAAAAATTAACAGAATTTGATTATCTCAACTCACTTAACAAGTTCTTGACCTAGATACCAAGGACACACACACGAAAGGTTGAAACAGTAACTATGTATTGCCACTTGTTCAAAAAGGGAAAGTTGCATGAAAAATCTTGAGATCTCTCACAAAATATCAGTCCACAGGAAACTTACATGGAACGAACAACTTATGCATTCTTATAGTTGGGTAACCATCTTCAGTAAGACGAACTTAAGTCATTTGCTCTGTTTTAGGATAAGAAACATTTGTAGTTCTGATTGCTTTGACTGAGAATGTGACTTTCTAAAAGTCGCGCTCGCAGAAAACGTTTATCCGAACCGATTAATTGACAGAAACACGGAAGATAAGCAGTTCAAACTGGTCACTGACTCAGTTCCAAAGAAAAATCATCTTCATGAATTCTGAATTCAAAGGTGAACAAACTCCAGATACGCTCAAAAACTGTGTCTCTAAATCAGTCATTATGGTGTTCTTTGCTGCAAAACTACAAATAACTTTAACCAACTATAAGTTGTTCTCTCTCAGTTCACCTGCTCTTGCAGAATAGAGTACACTGACCGTAGCCAGAGAATGCTTTCCACACGGATACGAGAATATATTCACACCATGATTTTACAGAGGAGAAGGGAAGGGTGTGCAAAGCCCCATTCTAGAACACTTGATTGATTTCTGTCACTCTACCAACCCTGAAAATGATTTTCACATCATTTGTTGAATTCATGCTAACTAGATGCGTTTTCTTCGCAATAAACGTATAAAGACAGTGGAGACCTTGGGTCACTCATAAATTCAGGTGAAGCCTCTGTGAACCAAAGAAGTGTGTACAGTCTTGATAATTTACCTTAGCCGTAGAGGGATAAATATTTATTGATTTATTTTTCATTCTGTTTATTTAGTCAGTCGATATGCCTTTCCCTCACTACTACGATTATTATTATTATTATTATTATTATTATTATTATTATTATTATTATTATTATTACAGTTGTTATTATTCTCATCACTTTGAACTGTTTCCGGTATTATTTCACTTGTCCCATTTGTCATTATGAATCAAAAATATTTTACAATGTTAAATTCTATCTTATCAGATTTCATCATCATCATCATCATCATGTAACGTAATGCTTTTTTTTCATTTACGTGCTAATCCTATGATTTTATACACTCTTCTAACATCTATACAATTCTATGAACTATTCTATTTATTCAATTGTTGGTTTATGGGAATTTGATTGGTTGGTTAGGGGATTTCATCATGAGTTGACATTGGTTAGAGAACCATAGAAAAACTTGCAGGAAGTACTGGACAGCTGTTTTGTCCTAGTTTTAGACTCTCCAGCAGTAGTCACCCATCACTAGGGGTCGATCCCAGGACCTTTCCGGTACAAGATGAGTTAGTAGACAATCAAACCACTGGGACCCAATCCAATGGCCCAACTTCTACCAATTCGTGATTAGCAACCACCATTGCGTATTCACACGTTTGTTTAAGTCTTCTAAAGGCGTACGATTTATTTAGTCTCTCTCTCTCTCTTATATATATATATATGATTGTATAACTTGATAGTAAATTCGCTGGAAAGAGTCCCTTCGTTGAGTCACTTGTTTTGATCCCCTATTACGGAATCACCATGTGAACCATACTGAAGCTATTAACAGACTACTACGTAAAGGAGGTAAAATCAACAAGTCGTCAGTCAAGAGGTGGACCATCTGATGACTTTGTAGGTTTTCGTGGTCTGGTTTGATTGAGATGCGTGTTAATTTATTCACCGTTGACCTCAACGTTCTACAAAAGCAAGATGGCTCATCAATCCTAAATATTGTTACTATTCCCTTAGGTTCCTAGTGGAAAATAAAGCTTTAACAGCACATAACTACTCTGTCCTAATCGCTGCAGTCCTCCGTAGCTAGTCCCAAGATTGCCCATAGTCTGTCATCTCCTCCATATCGCCTTCAGATCCAACCCAACTCGTCGCTTCCCATTCGACTTCCAATCAAGCGATGGCCTGGCGCGCGGTGTCTCCTAATGGTGCCTCCCTAAAATGTTTCTCAACCATCTACAATTTTTTCACAATATTTGTTGAACAGTAGTTACTTGGTTATTGAATTGAATTTTTGATTTTCCCATCGATTGTTTGGACCGAAATGCTCGGTCTCAGGTTGACATGTCGGCTTCTTGTGCAGATGCTTCGACGATGTCTGGGCATTTAATTAGTACACAATTGGTGGATGGTGGCTAGCAGTGGAATCAAGGATGCGCATTTCGTCCTATTTGGGACTCGTCATCTGGATGTACCTGCATTTCTCAGTGAGTGATGACGTTCCCACCGAAGCTCGAACCCAGTACCCATAGTTTCAAACGCCAAAGCGTTATCCACTAGACCATTTGGGCCACGAGAGCCACCTCCTGTGCAACGGGTCATATTAATTATTGAATTGAATTTTTGATTTTCCCGTCGATTGTTTGGACCGAAGTGCTCGGTCTCAGGTTGACATGTCGGCTTCTTGTGCAGATGCTTCGACGATGTCTGGGCATTTAATTAGTATACAATTGGTGGATGGTGGCTAGCAGTGGAATCCAGGATGCGCATTTCGTCCTATTTGGGACCTCTTGTGCAACGGGCCATATTAACGCTTTGGCGTTTGAAACTATGGGTGCTGGGTTCGAGCTTCGGTGGGAACGTCATCACTCACTGAGAAATGCGGGTACATCCAGCTGACGAGTCCCAAATAGGACGAAATGCGCATCCTGGATTCCACTGCTAGCCACCATCCACCAATTAGTTACTTGGTTAGTTCGTTCTGTTGCTAATTCTTTGTGACTTGCCGTCTGGTCTTCCGTATGGAGCCAACGACGTCAGCTGTTGGTAAAGTTTTCGGCAATCTGTTAGAAACGCCTTCTGACCCTTATAGGAGAAGTTATCTAACATTTTTACTGAGAATCCGGATTCTGTTATTTATGTTTGAGTGCAGAAGATTCCCAAACTGGTTTGAAAGTGATGAAGGTGTCTGTCTTGCCCTTTTGATTCTAGCTTGTTTCGACATCCTCATAGGTGCCAACTCCCTGTAGTTGAAACTATACTGAGTAGTTAGATAAGTAAAGGAATTGACCTGGTTCAAATTTATTCCGTTGATAGCGGTTGGTACTTGTTATTTTTGTTGATTGGTTGGTTAGTTGGTTGGTTATTTTCATCACCTACGTCGTCTCTATGTTTACATGACCTGATTTATAGCTTAGTAAGTAGTTGCCATATTGGTTTACTTTACAGCCACATCATTAAGAGTCGTCAATCACTAGCATTTTGAAGACCTGAAGATTGTAATCTGTATTATTCTATTTAACTAAGACCTACACACCCACAATTCATAAGTTGATAATATCTTTTAGCCTCAAAAATTCAAAGACCTTTCTTTCACCTTAGTCTTGAATTGATTGAATTCCCCCCACCCCCACAAAGCATGTGTTTTCTCATCCTATACAAATGATGTCGGAATCATTTCATTATGTGAAGCTACAGTACTCCTTGTACCTCTACTTCTAACCTAATCCGTCTTACCTTCTACATCAAGAAGTTAAGACATTCTGGTATAACCCAACCCTTACTCCTACAATTCGTTAACTCTTGCATCCTGCCTATTATTCTCTATTGTTCCCCCTTAGTTTTTCCCGGGCTACCGAAGAAAGACTATGCCCTATTACGCAGGATGTTAAAGGTTGTCAGCAGGGTAAGCTACGTGCCACTTAACCAGCTTGTTAATATTCTAGGCGACAGGCACTTGGACTCATGCGAGAAATGGGGTAAATCCATTCTATCTAACTCACACCACCCTCTTCATTCACAACTCTAACCTTGTATCTCATCAGGCAAAACCAGAAGCCTATATAGAAAACTATATGTTGGCACTAGCAAGTACAAAAACTCAACCATACCCAACTTAGCTCGTGTTCTGTGCGATAAAGAAGGCATTAGACGTGAAACTTATAACTTATTATTAAATAGTCAGTAGAACAATTGGATCTCGTCTTTCCAACTCATATCATTTATAGGTACAGCGTTTTCTTTCTTTCTTTTCCTTTCCTCTCTCTTTTTTGTCTTTGTTATGTGCCGTTTTGTTTCTCTCTTCCCTACAAACTCTACTTAGAACATTCTTCTTCGTTCTTTCACACTCTGTATATCTCGACCTATTTGTTACCGCTTACGCCAGTAAATATTCTAGCATCTAATTCCATATTAGTTTGATTATTAAATGTATCACACAGTGAAACAGTATTGTATACTGGATGACGTTTCGAACACAATCTAGTATTGTTCATAATCATATCAATTGTAATCACACGACTTCAAAACTTGAGTTTTATAGTTTTCTTTGTCTTCTCCTATTTGTCGTCGTAGGGGTAGTAGAATTTTCCAGATATCTTCTTGGCCAGGTGTTGAACCATTCCTATTACCTGTATTTGCAGTTGATTCGATAAACACAGCTTCTGTTATCAATCTCTCTCTCTACCCTGTGACATTAGCTTTTATAACTGTCATCCTATCTCATATTATTGTATGGTTGTGTGTAACTGCATATAGCGAGTGCTATAGATGAACTACTCTCTAGATTTCTCATCTTATTCGGGTCAACCAATCTAGATTTAGCTAGGTTTTTATGTTCGGTTAGTCTGACTGCCCCTGTTCTACTAGTTTGACCTATGTATTTGACCTGACAATCATTGCAGGCAGGGTATTAGATAAACTAAATTGTTTTGTTTTAATGGCTCTACAGGACCCTTTAACCGACAAATAAGATGACAGTTTTAAAATCTATAGTAACAACGGGGTGTAGGGAGAGATTGAAAACAGAAGCTTTGTTTATCGAATCAACTGCAAATACAGGTAATAGGAATGATTCAACACCTGTCCCAGGTATATGGAAAATTCTACTACCCCTACGACGACAAATAGGAGAAGACAAAGAAAACTATAAAACTCAAGTTTTGAAGTCGTGTGATTACAATTGATATGATTATGAACAATACTAGATTGTGTTCGAAACGTCATCCAGTATACAATACTGTTTCACTGTGTGATACATTTAATAATCAAACTAATATGGAATTACTTAATACCACAGTGCCCAAGTTTTACACATATATTCTAGCATCTACTTTTCTAACACCTTCAAACATTCTGTTCAATTTTTGGCTTTGCTAACGATATGCTAATATGTTGTTGTCAAAAACTAACTGAGATTACCCATGATCTATGCAATACTGTAGTGAAATGCTGAGAATTCCATTCTGTATCACAAGTACTGTTTTGGAATAAAACAAATTATTATTTATTATTATTATGAACATATTTGGCTTAGCGGTTTGATCATACAGTACTGGTGTTAGTGGAGATACTGGTGACCTGCAGTTTTGATGTAGTATTGTCTACCCCATCCAATACCATGATTCAAACAAATTCACAAAATTTCATGCCGGATCGGCCGTGGCCCGGATTAACAACGACCGCGCTTCCTGCTGCCGTGTCACAGGGCAGGAGTGATAAGTATGCTACTGAGGCACACCAAACAAAAGAGAACAAACAAAAACAGGCCGCGTGTGACCGGCCTCAAGCAGTTGTCCCCTGGGCTCTGCGGTCACGCAACCAACTTCCACGGTGTGGGCAGCCGGGAAGTAACAAACGCCCTCACAATCCGAAATGCACACAAAACCTTTCTAATCCTCACTTATCTTTGTCTTCATCTTCATCTCTATTACCTTGCCTTCCTCCCACTGATGCCAACTCCTCTACTTGATGGCTCCTCACTCCCTCTTCCTTTCTACCATTACCCATTCTGTTTCACTCTTATACTTGTCAGACTGTATTGATTCTCTTCACTCATCTTTTTGCCTACCTCTGTGTGCTATTTGGAAGGTGGCAACTCGAACTGCTGCACTTTGGTGTCAAGTTCTATGTTGAATCCAGACAGACAGACGCATACATATCAGATCTTGCATCTTAAAAGTAAAACAGCGCAGATATTCACTCAGCAAGCACATTCCAAAATGTATAGCTGAGTACATCGTTATAACAGAAGGGTGTAATTAAGTCCCTTGCAAAAGACTCAAAATCTGATTGGCGTGTTAAAACGACACAATTTCACTTACATCAAAGTCATAACGAGGCAGTACTTCCAAACTACGCATCATCTTGAATATATATATATATATAAAGTGACAACAAGCAACAAAAAGGAACTTTCATATGAACTGTTGTCACGATTTGACAGAATAGTTCTAAAATATTTGAGCGCCGAGTGAGAAGTAGACAGACATTTGTAAAAAAAAATTATATACTTCTTCAACTCGATCAGATGGGAGCAAATTATGTGTCAGGTTTTTGAGTTTAAGTTACTGCCTTATGACAGTTTGAATACTATGAAATGCTATTAAATTCCAACTTGAAAAGGAATAGAATACCAACGAATTAATAGAATGAAAGTCAATCTTTGATGAGGAAGTCAGGCATAAAATACCTTGGAATAGTTCCTTCCTCTGACCTATCTTGGTCATCCCACATCTTTTCAATTTCGAAGAAATGTTTCGTCTAACCTTCTACATTAAGAGGTTAAGACAATCAGGTAGGAATCACTCAACCTTTACTTCTACAGTTTGTTAACTCTTGCATCTTACCTATCGTTCTTTATCGCCTCCCTCCCCCCACCCCGTGTTAGTCTTTCGTAGGCTACTTAAAAACGACTGTATCATATTTCGAAGGGTATCAGAGATTTCCTACATTTATTCGCCTTAATGAATTTGAAGAAAGCAAGAACTACAGTTTTAGCAGAATAAAGTGGTACCATCTTTTATTTCGTTGCCTTCTCGTCAGCTGCTTACAGACCAAAGACATTATTAAATATATCTACAACAACAATTTTAACATACTTCTACACAGAGTTCATTTTAAACAAAAATTAATCGATCAATATATGCATACAGTAGTAAAATATGCATATATGTAATATTAAACACTATTCCGAACAATAATGATCAGAAATAGTGAAATCTTTTCGGCATTACGCATTCAGATGAAAGAGAGATGAAAAATATCCAGTTACCAGGGCAAAGAAAGACTAATAACCGCTTCTTTCTGGACGCATAAATCAGGTTTCAGGCGCTTGATGGAAATGGCTTCAGTAAACTTGAGGAGAATTGAGCTTTTTTGCCAATTGATAATTTTGAACGATTTTGAGACGTCCACCTCATGACCCGTGTCGAGATGCCTGGGGATGGCACTGTTTAAAGCATTTGGTCCCTTTAGACATAAACTTTTTGGTACATGTTCATCTCTCTTTCATGTGATTATGTAATGTTGAAAGTTTCCGTTGTGTATGATCACTATTGTTCGGAATAGTGTTTAATTGTACATATATATATATATATATATATATATATATATAATTGTGTGCATACACTGATTGATTGATTTTTGTTTAAAATGAACTCTGTGTGGAAGTATGTTATAATTGTTTCTGTAGATATATTTATTAATGTCTTTGCCCTGTAAGCAGCTGACGAGAAGGCAACGAAATAAAAGATGATACCAATTTATTCTGCTAACACTGTAGTTCATGCTTTGTATCAGAGGTTGTCAGTAAAGCAAGTAGTGTGTCACTAAGTCAGCTCTTTAATTCAGTAGTCGACAGGCATCTGACACATGTGAAAAATCTATATTGTCTGACTCTTATAACACCCTCTTAATTCATGACTTCCCCCTCACACACACACACACACACTTGCATTTCATCAGGTAGGACTGGAAGTCATTATCAGGGATTGTATGCTCACACAATTAAGTATAAAAACTCAACGATAGCCTATGTGGACCGCGTTCTAGGTGATAGAGAAAGTGTAAAGTGTGAAACTTATAACAACTTACTATGTAATTAGCAAAACAAATGGCTCTTTCACCTTGTCCTATTTGTAATTAGCGGTGAGACTATTTGAATTATTTTATAATTTTGTTCACTAATATTAATATTATTTTCAGTTTACACTTTTTGTACACTTTTGAACTTATTGTCACTTCTTATGCCAAAACGTTGCTATTATCAATTTTGATTACCTATACCCTGTAATATATTTTGTTGTCTAATTGGTGGATGGTGACTAGCACTGTAATCCAGACAGGATGCGCATTTCGTCCTATTTGGGACTCGTCATATGGATGTGCCTGCATTTCTCAGTGAGCGATGATGTTCCCACCGAGGCTCGAACCCAATGACACAAGAAGCCGACATGCCAACCTGAGACCGAGCACTTCAGTCCAATCAATCGACAGGAAAATCTAAACTTCAATTAAGTATTTTGTTGTCATTGAACAAATTAGATGCAATATTGTAATAAATGCTGAGAATTCCACGCCACGCTACATAACAAGTAAATTATTATCATTATGATTAAATTGCAACAACAAAAAAACTCACTAGATTCAATGGAACTGGGATCACACAGTTGACTGAAAGGGAAATTTATCAAGCTTGGAAATGATGGAGTACTACTTTGTTTGTGTGCACCAAACTCCGATAATTGGGCAAGTGAATTGAAGGCGAACAATCTAGCGATGCTGTTCATTTTTGTCGCTAGATCAGAATTTTCATTTTGTAATATGCTATCAACGTCCATGCTAAAGGGTAGAATGGATTGACTATCATTTCGAATAAAATTCTGTAAGACTGTTGTAGCTGCTTTTATCACTGGGATACTAGCATTGTCATCGTCATCTGTTTGTACAAACAAAGGTTCGATAGGCGCTGCTGGGACACTAGTTGGCATGAAAGTGTTGCGGTAGTGTTCCTGTGTAGATGGAGAGTAATTATATAGAGTTGGGACGGTGTTTTCTTCACTAATTTTTGCCTTATTACTCGTAGTAGTAGTAGTAGTGGTAGCAGTAGTATCGTTTACTTCTCCAACAGCAGCAGCAGCAGCAGAAGCAGGAGGAAGAGCGCTAGTAGATGAAACATCGATCACTTCACTGAAAGGTTTCCGTTCAAATCCTTTGGATTCTAGACAGGATGAATTAAGCGCTTCTGTTACTCTTCTATAGAGTGGAAAAAAAGAGAGAACAAAATAGGGAACAATAAAACTGATGACTAGTATATGAATAATAATAATGATATTGTTTGGAATTGGATCCTATACTTTTTTTAATCAATAAAAACATTGTTGGAAGTAAGACGGTAATATGTCATGAAGACTACTTTGACTGTACTTCACACATAACTCAAATATTAATCCGTACGAGAAAAAAAAACAGAATTTTGAACTCTTCGTAGGTATATACTGAAATGCCTAGATCAGCTTCTAAAACTCTTCCAATTATGGTGGATCGGATAATGCGGTATACTGTGCGTGGGGAAAGAGAATACAAAAACCATACTCTCCGACTCCCAACACCCCCTCTATTCCCAACTCTCTCCCTGTTGTATCTCATCAGGTAGAACCAGAAATCAGTACAAAATAATATATGCTCGTACAACCAAGTACGTCGGTGGCACAGTGGTTAGGACTCTCGCCGACCATGCACATGGTCCGGGGTTCGAGCCCACGCCGACGCACACTTCGGCCTGCGAAATTTGGGCTACCGATATCCATGCTGAAAATTCCATACTTGTACCAAAAATACGACGTGGAATCAAGCTGTAATCAAAAATAAAAATTTAAAAAAAATAGATACACGAAATCAACGATACCATATTTGGTCTGTGTTCTAAGTGACAGGGACAATGTTAAGCGCGAAACCTATGACTTGCTCTGTTGTTAATGACATAATTTCGGCCCTTTTATTTCTCTCTTATTTGTATTCTATAGTGAACACCTTCTTAAACATACTTAGCTACCTAAATTGTTAACATTGGCTTACTTTCTTGTACTTTATTCCTTCTTTTGTGTATCCTACTGGTTCCGATTATATTATCACTATGAGTATTACAAAATTGTCCTATCATTAACCATCATGTAATATTAGTTTTGTGATTGTTTTTTGTTCCGCAATATTAACTGATAATCTTGGTTGTGAACGCCATTATCACCATCTTAAAAGTTTTGTATCATGCAGGATTACTCACACTACCACTATAAACACCGCATTAGACCTGACAATAAAAACCCCGAAATGTTTATTTTATGATTGTTTAGTGTTGTTCATCAATCAAATTAACTGATCATCTTGGCGATAAACATTCTTAATATCATTTCATAACTTCTTGTATGATTATAGCTGTTACTGTTCACCACGCATAAAAATATCGTAGCTTCCACTACCCGATACTGAGATATTATTTATCATGTTGTTTATTTTCCTTTCTACTTCTTGGTATTTTCTTCGCATTTTTTATGGTTTTTTTGTTGTTGTTTTTTATATTTATTTTTTGAAATACTCCTTGTTAAATGTTTGACGAAATTAGATGCAATATTGTAGATAAGTGCTGAAAATTCCACACTGTACCACTAGTACTGTTTCTGGAATAAAACAAATTATTATGTTGGGAGATCTGGACTTCGTGGATGATTTATTTCTAATGTTACACAGACTCGAAGGCTTACAGGCGAAAACCAGGAAGTTGCCAGAAGAAGCAGCATAGACAGAATTTCAGGTGAACATAGAGAAGATGGAGGTGATGAAGATGGCCAACCAACCAACTAACAATAAAAAACTAGCACCAATCATTACCAACAGAATAAATTTGGAAGAGGTCACTTCTTTCACTTATCTAGACAGAATTGTAGCAAATCCATGTGGTTGGCACGGATGAGGATGTCAAAACAAGCCAGAATCGGAAAGGCAAGGCAGATCTGCATCACTTTGAAATCAATTTGGAAATCTGCATTCAGTAAAAAGGAAAAATCTAGATTTTCAACATCAATCTTAAGTCAGTTAGTTTTTCTAAATGAGTCAGAAAGCATGGCACACGAGTCACAAGAAGCTACTACAGACATTTATTAAGAACTGCCCAATTCGCTCGATACTGAAGATCAGATGATCAGCCAGAAACAATTAGCAACAGGAATCTCTGAAGACGAACTAATCAAGTGACTACTGCTTAACAAATATTTTACGAAATAACAGGAATGGGTCGGCTAAACTCTTAGGAGGACGTTATGTGACACCGCGTGGTAGGCCATCACTTGAGTGGAAGTCGAGTAGGAAACGATGAGTTGGGTTGGGTATGAGGGTAACATGGAGGAGATAAGAGACTTGGGGCCAGCTAAAGAGGACCGCAAAGATTAAGACAGAGTAGAGAGGTGCTGTTGAAGCTCTAGGTTGTACTCTGAACCCGAGGGAATAATAATACTACTACTAATAATAATAATACAGCACAAATATATGATCTAGAGAACGACCACAGATCAGCACTAAGTTATCAATAATGTAAATGGTCATTAATTCATGAGCATAAACAGTACCAGCAGATGTGTGACTCTGTCAGATGTAGTGGACATGAAACAGTGATTAGGAGTCTTCTAGATGCACTATTCATATTTCTGGCTCTGTAACTACGCCAAAAAACAATGATATGTTTGTTGTATCTTAAACCATTCGTATATAAGTTATAGAAAGAAAGAAAAACAAACAGAGACGTAGAAATATTCAGTTGTGCAAACGAAAAACCCTTCGTAAAACATATGAACCCATGAATTCTTCCAAAACAAGCTTTGATTTGCCTGGATGAAACAATCGAAAGCTTTGCTCAAAACTTAATACCCCAGTGTGATGACCAATCCCAGTAACTAGTTTGAAGTGGCTGAAGAGGGAATTACAATAAATAATTGAATTCTAGATGAAGATATACTCGACTACATACATCAACCATTTTTTTTCGCAAATTGTTCTGATCCGTACAACTTTATCGTCACACAAAACATGTTGACAATGCGATAGTAGTATGCACTTATATCACACCCTGATTCTCTGAAAGTGTAAATCCTTAAGATGGCATGATTCCTCCTTGACACACACCATATTTCAATTTTGACGAGTCATTTTGTTGTTTCGGAACCTCTGGTTCATTGAATCAAGCAATTTCAACTAGTGAGTTATGAGTTTTGGCCCAGTTTCAAACAGAATAATACACAAAAAAGGAGAATGCTTTTTTGCTTAGTACGCTGAATTGCAAGTGATTATCCAGTCGTGTAGTTCAATTTGTGTAAGTATTGGTGAACACCGTTTGGTATCCAAAAGCCTGGTTTATTCGAATTCCTATCCACTTTGCTGGAGTTGCGAATTCTTCCTACGGCTTCTTAGTTTTTAGTTGACAGAAAAATGCAGCAATACGATCGAAGTATTACTGTCTTTTATAATAACAATAATTTACAGGCTATATAGATAGCACTTAACTGTGCCAAACATAAACCAACTGTGATATCCATTGATCAGTCCTACTTTTTACAAACCAACCCTGTTATATTTGGTCTCTTTGTTGGGTGAATTATAAATTTATGTATTATTCAGCAAGCTTTTTATATTGTGTGTGCTGGAGTTGAGTTGATTTTTATGTGGTACTCTAATTTTGAGATAATTACTGTCTTGCAGTAACGTCAGCTCCTTGCCTAAGTAGGAAATTACTGAGCTAAACGTAATTCGATTAAGCGCCCTTAAGAAACAAAGTGCTGAATAGTATTTTACGGTAAAAATTTCACGTTTACACATTTATGAAGTCATTTATCTTGCAGAAAAGTTAAAAACCATAGTTTTGTACATTGAAACTACCAGAAAAATGAGCGAAAAATGGAGGAACAATTAAATCAGAAGGAAAAATCTATAGACAATAGCTACCAATAATAATCCAATTTCTAACTAACACTCAAGTTCCAACAAAATACACATATCAATTAAATTGAAATCTGCAATACACAGCATCTGCCTGCATTCAAAAAACTTCTAAGCAACACGTAACAGCCTGAGTGCAACTAATGTTGAGAAACACTCAAACTCAAAAAAAGACATTAATAAATGATAACTTATAAAATCGATCGTATGTTCGAAAATTCGAGTAAAATGAGAAATGAATATAAATCACTATGAGTACAGTTGAAGGATGCTAACCTAACATAAAAGAGAGACGCACCGAATTCCATTAAATTGGAATCTAACAGAAACAATACAAAGATATCTATTCAAATTCGTAGCTATGCTTAGATATCGCTACTTAATAAGGTGACGGTTTATGCCAGTGGAAGCCAAACATGTGAATTACGGCGATGAAAAGTTCATATATTACAGAATTTAACCGCCTTGTGTCACTAATAAGTCACTGTGATATCCTATCAGTTAACATCAGTATTCAAAGGAAACAAAATGCTATTAGCACACAAGGTTCATTAAGCCAGTTTTCAGTAAAGTCGGTGGCACAGTGGTTAGGACTCTCGCCGACCATGCACATGGTCCGGGGTTCGAGCCCACGCCGACGCACACCTGATATCTATCGTCGGTCTGCGAAATTTAGGCTACCGATATCCACGCTGAAAATTCCATACTTGTACCAAAAATACAGTGTGGAATCAAACTGTAATCCAAAGAAAAAATTCTTAAAGGATTTTGAACCGTTCCCTGAGGTAAACAAAACGTCCCACACTCAGTTTTTAATTACTACTCACTAATGTGAGCATTTTTTAAGTTTCATTAGGGATATTTTGATGCATCACTGATCACCTGTGACACCCTCGGAGGCGTTTCGTACATCAAGTAATGACTTTGGAATTGCTTGAGTCAATTTATTCCTCGTAATTTCAACCGACTGTTTCAGAGGACATCACCTTAGAGTTTTAGAAAGTGGCCAGATCACTTTCATCTGGGAGTCGTAATTGAGCAGAGAACCAGCAAGGCCCTTTGACGGAATACGTAGCTTAAGAATCACTTACTATTCTCTTTGAAGACCAAGCGGCCGAAGGCGACAAGTGGATAGGAACCCCAGTAGCGAAGTGGCCAAAAGGCATTTGCCCAAACATTGTGCCGGGGGAAGTCGAGAAATTGATGCACACTGAGAAGGCATTCAAATGACACCACATACCAGGCGACCATGTAGAACCTGAATGGGGAGCGACGGGTTGGGTTCCCGAGAGTGACATGGAGATTATGTGAAGGGGAAAAGAAAGCTTGTGGGTAGCCGTGGTGTCAGTTGAAAGTGATAGTGGAGGACCAGGTGCGATGGAATGTTTGTTCCATTAGGAACGCGAGGAATGGATAGTAACATAGTAACACTATTAATAGCAGAGGTCTGTATACGCTTCTCAGTATGACCTATGCCCCCGGGAAATAAAAATAATTAAGGTTTCTGACTAACAACTTAAATCTATGAATTATATGAACCTATGAAAACCACAGAATGCCTTGGAAACAAGAACGTGGAGCACATACAGAGTGAGCAAACATTCAAAACACAAAGAGGTGAAAACAATACTCACCGAACGCTTTGTTCATTGAAAGCCAGTGCAGTGTCCCCAAGTCTAGTGGTGTCATGCGGAGATCGCCAAAAAGCTCTTTTCTTAGGGTGGCAGAAAGACTCTAGTTCCACCACCTCTACAACAAGCACTATATTAGTACTCGGGAACCTTAGTTTACATCTGAAGCAATAAATGTGAAGATAATACTTTTATTGAGGCAACCTACCCATCGGATAGCAGAACAAAATCTGGTCTATTCATGTGAAACAATCCATCAATAAAAATTCCGTTTTTGCTGAGACACCTGAGATAGATATCTTTGTCTTTTCTATGTATTTCCAAATGTTTGCGAGATACGCATTCAGAATCGTTAAGACATACATCAACAGGAACATGACTTTTGCGACCAATTGTTATTAATGTCTTTTCAGAAACGACTGTACATGAAGGTCCTGTGATTTTTATGGATATTTTTCTAATGTCGATCATAAGTCTTTCTTCAGGCGTATACTACAAGGTTAACTCCATTGGCTTCAAAATACCCCTGGAAGTTGTAGGTCATTAACCAAGTGCTTCAGAAAGCTTAAACAAATTCACATTCATATTTTGAATCTGGAAGTAAGACAATTAGAAGACTCTGTTAGTTCTTTTCAGTGAACATATATATTTACACAGCTACTTCCTGGGGCACCAACTCAGGAAGCATGGACCATTTCTCCTGGATGTCACTCAATCACTAGACTAATATACCATCCAATATCCAATGTCGTTTTTACGAGCTAGTATAAACCAATTTGATATCTTTGTTCTCGCTTCTTGATTGTAAGGTATAGGTTCCTGATCTTCGGTAAACTTCTGAGTAACTTGTCCCGCCACTCGACTGTCGTAGCTTTGGTTGACTCCAAAGGGAGTAGTGCTGGGATTAATTATATGTGGTTTGTAGTATGAGGTATGTTAAGAGTGTTACTACTGTGATTGGAGTTGATCCTTTCGCCAGTTAGTCCTTCGGTATCGTCGACAAGAGAAAAGAGATAGTAATAATAATAGCAAAAATAATAGATATAATTAGTGAAGTTATTCAGACTAAGAGACAGAAACGAAAATAGGAAAGCGTAACAATAGTCAGCTCATTAAGTTTGAAGAATAATATATATATATATATATACCGGTAATAATAATAATAATAATAGTAATTGTAATATTAATAAGTTGTCAGGAGAGTAAGACGGGAGAGAATGTAAAGAAGTAAAACGACGAGTCTATATGTCTACCCCTGAATGGTGTATGAGATTTTAAGGAGATAGGCCATTTGGATGCAGTCCTTGTGTCGCTGCACGGTTGTCCAGCCTTCGCTTAAAGGCGTCCAAAGGCGGTGCCATAGCTACATCTGCCGGTAAGGAAATCCAGGGACGGCAAACCCGCAGTGAAAAGAAGTGGAAGCGCACCCCGGTCCTTGCCCTCTGGTGAGCTATCCTTCTGGGATTTCCACGTGGGAGCCTGTACCTACTCAATGGCAAAACACCTTTGTTTGGGTGATTCTGGTTATTTGTTATTTTGTAGGCAGTAATCAAATCCCCCCTAATCCGACGGTAGCTAAGTGTGAACAGGCCTAATATCATCAGCCTTTCATCATATGGTTTGTTTCGGAGACCAACCACTCCTTTTTTGCCCGTCGTTGGAATCTTTCCAAGAGGTTGGCGTCTCTTCTCAGCATTGGGGGTGCAATAATATTATGCACCTCAAGGTGTGGCCTGACGTATGTTTTGTACAACATTGGAAAGAGCTCAGGAGTGAGTGCACCTAACTGTCTATGCGTAAAGTGTATGACCACATATACCCTCGCTACACCCCCTTTGTAATTTACACTTGTGTCCATTTTTTCCGTTAGAACTAGAACTAGGGTTTTTGCAGTAGTCGAATATCTGCTGTTTACTGCATGTTAGGTACTGTGGGGGTCCGATGGTGACTTGCGAGTTGTTGAGCAGTTACTTTGGGCGTTATATACTCCCTGTTTTGAAAAACTAGTTTAATACTTCTCGGGGGACGCATAAGTAGAATGAGACAGTCATGATGAGCCATCCTTTCTCCAATCTTCAAAGGTGGGGACAGGCAAAACGCTACTAGTTATAGACCAGTAGCTCTACTCCCAGTGGTATCAAAAGTACTGGAAAGTATTATTGACGACCACATCAGGGAATATTTCGATAGGACTAATATACTACATGAAGCCCAAAATGTTTTCAGAAAAGGCAGATCCTGCGTTACTAACCTACTGTCAGCTTGGGACGACTGGACATCATGCTGGGATATGAATGTACCAGTCCATGTGGTCTTCCTAGTCTTTCATAAGGCATTAGCATGACCTTATCTAGTTTTCGCCTCCACGATCAAATTTCTTTCCTGTTATGAAACTACGATAAGACTGCTGAAAAATGGAATAAATATATCACTGATCTCAACATAATACATCAATAATCTTTAAGCCAAGGGTGTTGTTCACAACAAAGTTATATAGGAGAATTGACTTCAAGCTTTATTTTTCCCAGATATCTGTATTACATTCATCTGATGTCTGGGTTTTTTTGCCAAAGCGAAGACAATATTTGTATATCTCTTTATGTGTTACACAAACAGACTTTATCGCAGACTGTTCCGACTGACTCTAATGCCAGAAAGAACAACCAAACTGTAAATCCATTATACATCAAATTATGTGTAATTTATATAATAACTTATCCATGCCTGTAAAAAAGGTATGTTCCTGCATAAACAGGGAGAAATATATTATTATTAAAACAATATTTATACATGCCTATACAATTGGTGTATCCTACATAGCTAGGAAAAAATGTACCTTATTATATTATCTTTACTAAATATGCTTATTAATCTTATGTGTAACTTATCGAATTGATGATACCTGTAAACTGGCGTCTCTCATGTAAAAAATGAGAAGATATATTATTATTTTTTGGCACTGTTCACCATGACCTTCTCCCACATAAAACAGGCCAGTCAGGCATAGGTGAGCCACTTCTGTCATGGTTAAAGGACTACCTAGCCGACAGACAATTTCGCACTAAGGTTAACCGAGTCTGACCATCTTGGCACAGAACATCATCAGGAGTGTCTAAGGGTTATATCCTAGGACCACTGATGTTTTTGATTTTTATCAATGATCTACCACGCCGTCTAAGCTGCCGGACTCTCCTATACGCTGACGACGTAAAAATATGGAGGGCGATAAAGTGTCCGGAGGACTCAGACAGCCTAAAGGAAGACCTAAAACTTCTGGAAGACTGGGCGGTGGCCAGTGGCATGACTTTCAACCTGAAAAAGTGCAAAGTAGTGAAGTTACGCACCTGTAGACTCCAGAATGAAAGTTACACTCTGTGAAATGAAAACTTGTCCTGCACAACGTCGGAACGCGACTTAGGTCTAGTTCTAACGGAAAAAATGGACACAAGTGTAAATTACAAAGGGGGTGTAGCGAGGGTATATGTGGTCATACACTTTACGCATAGACAGTTAGGTGCACTCACTCCTGAGCTCTTTCCAATGTTGTACAAAACATACGTCAGGCCACACCTTGAGGTGCATAATATTATTGCACCCCCAATGCTGAGAAGAGACGCCAACCTCTTGGAAAGATTCCAACGACGGGCAAAAAAGGAGTGGTTGGTCTCCGAAACAAACCATATGATGAAAGGCTGATGATATTAGGCCTGTTCACACTTAGCTACCGTCGGATTAGGGGGGATTTGATTACTGCCTACAAAATAACAAATAACCAGAATCACCCAAACAAAGGTGTTTTGCCATTGAGTAGGTACAGGCTCCCACGTGGAAATCCCAGAAGGATAGCTCACCAGAGGGCAAGGACCGGGGTGCGCTTCCACTTCTTTTCACTGCGGGTTTGCCGTCCCTGGATTTCCTTACCGGCAGATGTAGCTATGGCACCGCCTTTGGACGCCTTTAAGCGAAGGCTGGACAACCGTGCAGCGACACAAGGACTGCATCCAAATGGCCTATCTCCTTAAAATCTCATACACCATTCAGGGGTAGACATATAGACTCGTCGTTTTACTTCTTTACATTCTCTCCCGTCTTACTCTCCTGACAACTTATTAATATTACAATTACTATTATTATTATTATTATTACCGGTATATATATATATATATATATATTATTCTTCAAACTTAATGAGCTGACTATTGTTACGCTTTCCTATTTTCGTTTCTGTCTCTTAGTCTGAATAACTTCACTAATTATATCTATTATTTTTGCTATTATTATTACTATCTCTTTTCTCTTGTCGACGATACCGAAGGACTAACTGGCGAAAGGATCAACTCCAATCACAGTAGTAACACTCTTAACATACCTCATACTACAAACCACATATAATTAATCCCAGCACTACTCCCTTTGGAGTCAACCAAAGCTACGACAGTCGAGTGGCGGGACAAGTTACTCAGAAGTTTACCGAAGATCAGGAACCTATACCTTACAATCAAGAAGCGAGAACAAAGATATCAAATTGGTTTATACTAGCTCGTAAAAACGACATTGGATATTGGATGGTATATTAGTCTAGTGATTGAGTGACATCCAGGAGAAATGGTCCATGCTTCCTGAGTTGGTGCCCCAGGAAGTAGCTGTGTAAATATATATGTTCACTGAAAAGAACTAACAGAGTCTTCTAATTGTCTTACTTCCAGATTCAAAATATGAATGTGAATTTGTTTAAGCTTTCTGAAGCACTTGGTTAATGACCTACAACTTCCAGGGGTATTTTGAAGCCAATGGAGTTAACCTTGTAGTATACGCCTGAAGAAAGACTTATGATCGACATTAGAAAAATATCCATAAAAATCACAGGACCTTCATGTACAGTCGTTTCTGAAAAGACATTAATAACAATTGGTCGCAAAAGTCATGTTCCTGTTGATGTATGTCTTAACGATTCTGAATGCGTATCTCGCAAACATTTGGAAATACATAGAAAAGACAAAGATATCTATCTCAGGTGTCTCAGCAAAAACGGAATTTTTATTGATGGATTGTTTCACATGAATAGACCAGATTTTGTTCTGCTATCCGATGGGTAGGTTGCCTCAATAAAAGTATTATCTTCACATTTATTGCTTCAGATGTAAACTAAGGTTCCCGAGTACTAATATAGTGCTTGTTGTAGAGGTGGTGGAACTAGAGTCTTTCTGCCACCCTAAGAAAAGAGCTTTTTGGCGATCTCCGCATGACACCACTAGATTTGAGGACACTGCACTGGCTTTCAATGAACAAAGCGTTCGGTGAGTATTGTTTTCACCTCTTTGTGTTTTGAATGTTTGCTCACTCTGTATGTGCTCCACGTTCTTGTTTCCAAGGCATTCTGTGGTTTTCATAGGTTCATATAATTCATAGATTTAAGTTGTTAGTCAGAAACCTTAATTATTTTTATTTCCCGGGGGCATAGGTCATACTGAGAAGCGTATACAGACCTCTGCTATTAATAGTGTTACTATGTTACTATCCATTCCTCGCGTTCCTAATGGAACAAACATTCCATC